CCACATTCCTCACAAGGCAACTATATTAAATATTTATATTAAATCAGCATCAATACCTAATTAAAAAAATTAAAAAGCATATCAATGTTTAACAGAAATAAATTTTATTGGTATTTAATCTGGATTATCTAAACAAAAGTATTAACTGTCCTTCAAGATGTTTTGGTTATAAACCTAAAATAGCAATCTTACTGACTTGGAAGCATTATTATCTGTTGGTAATAATGATAATGTTGGTACCATACATGGTACCATTAGCAGTCAAGGGAAATGAAAACAAATGTAAAGATGGAATATTAAATCCTAACTGTTTGGTTCAAACTCATTAGTTACTCCTCAGAAGGAAGGTTAGGCAATCTACTTCTATAGTGATACTGCCTTGGAAACCCAAGGAAGGGTCGCTATGAGGTGGGTCTGACTTGATGGTATACAACAACAACAACAACAATGGATTGAAGAGAAAAAGAAAATTATGCTCCAAATCAAGAAGAAGAAGAAAAAAAGGAAGTCCAACAGAGAGAAAGAAGTGAAAGTGATGCTCTAGAACTGCTTTATAAAAGCAGGAGTGACATAAGCCCTTTCTCTTTCTAAAACGGATAACCAAACTATAGTACATATATACAATGGAGTACTATGCAACACTAAAGAATAATGTAAGATCTGTGAAACACCGTATAATATGGACGAACTTGGAGGAAATAAGCCCATCACAGAAGGACAAATATTGTATTAGTTCACTATTGTAAGAAGTCAAGGAAAGGATTATATATGGAAGGAAACTTTCTTTGTTAATTACCAGGGATGGGAAGGAAGGGAAGGGAAGACAGCTAAATAGGTAGAGACAAGTATTGATCTGGGAGAAGGGAAAGGTAATATATCAAAAGCAAGTGACCAGCACAGTAATACTAAGGAAATGGAAGACAGAGAGGTGCACAAGAGGGAAAGAACACAAAGATAAACACTTTTACACATACAATACTGTGTTATCAGTGATTGTTGTTGTTATGTGCCATCAAGTCAGACCCAACTCATAGCGACCCCTCCTTGGGTTTCCAAGGTGGTTCACTATGGAAGTAGATGGCCAAACCTTTCTTCTGAGGACTGGCTGGTGGGTTTGAACTGCCAGCCTTCTGGTTAGCAGTCAAGTGCCTTAGGCACTATGCTAACAAACATTAATCTGCAGGTAAATAGAAGAGCAGACAGGCTGAATGATCAGGTAAGTTGAGGCAAATAGGATATAACCATGACTCATATATATATGTTTGGCAGACAATATTTCTACATACTTATTTGTATATGCTGTAAGAATGTCCTTATAACTAGAACGGGGGTGAAATTATGGTAACTTCTCAGGCACATTCAACTACCATGATGAAGCGAGTTGCTGGACCTGTGAGCTCAGGGCCATGGTTGCAAGGGACATCAAACTCAATTGGCATAACATATTACACAAAAACATTGTTCTAAAACTCAAAATCATTTTTTTAAAAAAAAAGCGAGGAACAGGTTTACTGGCCTGATGGAGCCTGGAGGAACCACTCAGACTATGGCCCCCAACTGCCCTTTAGGTCCGGAATTGAACACATACCTGTAGCTTCCAGCCAAGCAGTAGACAGGCATACTAGTTGACCATTTACCTGAGGTAGATACACTTCATGAAGAGAATAAGCATGAGAGAAAGAAGGGCTGCTCAGGCACAGGGAGACAGCTCAGAAGGTAGGAGTGCATGGAGGAATGGTCACAGGGAAGTGGTACCTATCGGGAGGAAGTGGGAGAGGAGATGTTGCATTGTGCTAAATTGTGGTCAATGTCATGAGCCAAAGTGTATGTGATCTTCTGCATGGAAAGTGTATTTGCTCTGTAAATTTTCACCCAAATCACAATAAAAATAATAATAAAAAAACGTTGTTCTATGTCTTACTTTGGTGAGTAGTGACTGGGGTGTTAAAAGCTAGCAAGCAACCATGGAGAGATGCAATATTGGGTCTCTCCTTATCCAAAGCAAAGAAGAATGAAGAAAACCAAAGATGCATGGAAACCATTTGTCTAAGGGACTAGTGGACCATGCGGATCTGGGCCTAAATGACCAAGAAACCAAAAGAACTAGATGGTGCTCAGCTACCACTGTCTACCACTTGGAAAGGGTTTGGTGCAGGAGATCCTGGATAGCGTGGGGGAACAATGTGGAGCAAAGTCATAAAAAAAAAAAAAAAAAGACCAGGTTTACGGTCTGATAGAGCCTTGTAAGACCCCCTAGACTATGGCCCCTAGTTACCCTTCAGGTCTGGAATTAAATTCACTCATGGCTTCCAGCCAAACAATAGAAAAGCATATAGGGTGAACATTTACATCAGGTAGATATACTCCTTAGAACGATTAACCATGGGACAATAGAAGGGCAGCACTTGCACAGGGACATAGATCAGGGGGTAGAAATGGATAGAAAAGAAGGACACAGGGAAGAGATAACTATAGGGAAGAATTGGAAGGAAAGCTCTTACATTGTGGGGAATTGCAGTCAATAATATGAAACAAAATTTGTATTAACTGCTGTATGGAAAGTGAATTTTCTCTGTAAACTTTCACCCAAATCACAAAAAAATTGAAAAAAAGAATTATTTTCCCCTTCTAGTTTCAACCATAAATACCACATGTACTTGATGGGGAAAGTAATAGGTATTATGCTCATTCACTCTAACTAATGCTCCCTGAATGGCTACTGAATTATTGGGAGCTCTGGTAGCATAGTGGCTAAGACACTTGTCTGCTAACCAGACGGCTGGCGGTTCAAACCCACCAGCCACTCCTCGGAAGGAAGGTTGGGCAATCCTACTTCCGTAGTGATACTGCCTCGGAAACCCAAGGAGGGGTCGCTATAAGTCAGGGCTGACTCGACGGCACATAACAACAACAACTGAATTATTACATAGAATAATAATATGCCCATTTCTGATTCAGGACTTTGTTTTTTAGGCAGGTAGAAATTGATGTTATTTTAAATGTAAGTTTTTTTTTTTAACCCAAGTGCACTTTTGAGCTCTTAACAACTCTATCCCAAAAGACAGAAAATATCTAATATACTTAGATAATTCTCCAAATTCCTTTCCTTTAGGATGACTGACCCAGCAAAACTCTCTTTGTTATGTTGCTTCCCAAAAGTCTTATTTCAATGTTTCATAACTGTGATTCCTAAGAGAGAAAAAGAAGGTTAAAAAATAATAGAGTATAAAAGGCAAGGTATGTGTGTGTTTAAGTCCCTGGCTTTTGATACTAAAACTGCACCTGTGTAAATTTTGAATATAAATTTGTCTTTACATAAAGAAGGGCACAGGAGCTCTGGACGCGTAGTGCCTAAGGCACTTGACTGCTAACCAGAAGGCTGGCGGTTCAAACCCACCAGCCACTCCTAGGGAAGGAAGGTTGGGCAATCTACTTCCGTAGTGATGCTGCCTCCGCAACCCAAGGAGGGGTCGCTATTAGTCTGGGCGACTCAACGACACACAGCAACAACAACAACAACAAGGGCACACTGAAAAAACGTCTATACACTCTGCTTTGAAGTGCAAGTGATTCACAGAAACAAATACTACAACACAAAGCTTTTTTATGCAGTTAGTACTGTCAGTATGTTGTTCAAAAATATTTATCTTTGAAGAGATGAAGCATAACTTTCCACTTATTCTATGCCAAGTGAGACACAGAAAAAGAGAGGGTGGGGAGGAGGATGAAGGGAGAGAGGAGAAAAAAAGAGAGAGCAGGAGAGAGATCATGTCATTCTGGAGTCCACAGCCTCACTAATCCCAAGCAGCTAAGCGTTATCTGTAGGTTGTAAGAAAGGTGACCTTTTTTATTTTTTTTTTTGCCCTCTGCCCCATCCCACCTCCCCCCGAAAGCGTTATCGTCGACTCATTCGGTCTCAAACTGCTTCCATTGGTTTTCTAAAAACCCTATAATCTTTCGGAAAGGAAACCGCCACTTTGGTCTTCAACAGAGTGGCAGGTGGATTCGAACCCCTAACCTTACGGTTAACAGTCGAATGTTTAACCATTGAGCCACTAGAGCTCTTTTTGGTTCTAGACACGCTAATGGAGCCTGTGCTGTATGCATGCCTCATCTAAGTCTTCATTCCTTCAGGAGTTAAGAGCTCCGGATCTTTAGAATACCGGGACTAGGCAAGCTGGTCCCTCGGAGAGGCTGCCACAGGTTACCGTTTGTTCTCACGGTGGGAGGGTATATGCTGGGGAGAAGGAGCGGTCCCATTTGCCAAAAACACATGTGGATCCTCACAGTTTTAGGGCTTCGAGCAAGAGTGTACGAGGACAGGTAGCCTTGCAGTGATAAGCACAGAGTGCTGGCATGCAGGGCGGGGGAGCGGGGTGGCAATGCCAGCTCTTAACCAGGACCCGAGTGTTTGCAGACTCAAGTAGAGCCTCCCGGGGTGCCCGCGGTGTCGTTCCAGAAGCTGCTGCCTGAGGACCCCGAGCCTCATCCCTGCCTCGTTTTGGGGATCCTCTTTTCCTCCTTCCTCATCACGTACCTGGCCTAAACGGCGGGACTCGCTGCCCCTGCCAGCCCCTCTCTGCGAGACCTGCCCTGTGTCCGTCCGCCTCCGCCGCCTCCCGCTGCCGCCGCGCTTCGGTTCCCAGCGCTTCCGCCCGCACCATGGAGGAATCCGGTGGACACCCACAGGCGTCTGGCGCCGTTGCCTTCGGGATCTCTGGCCTGGCGCCTTTTGGATGAGATGAACCGAAGAACTGGTGTCCTTGGTGCTCCGAGTTTGGTCCGTAACCGTAAAGCCCGGACAGAGAAAGAGAGGATCTGGGTAGGTTGGGAGGTCCAAATACTCCTCTTGCAGCGTCTTCGCCCTCCACTTCTTCGCGACTGGGATTGTTTATATAGGATCTGGAAGCGGGGCGGGCTTGCCCACCTCATTCCCAGGCGGCCTGCCCTCAGTCGCCAGGCTCAGGCTCCCGCACGTGGTAGACACCAGCCAACGTCTCCGCGGAGGCAGGAGGCAGAGAGCGCGGAGCCGGCACCCGGGAGCACGCGCGGTGCGCCTTCGCCTTCTGCCTATCCTCACTGGCTCCTTCGACCACTTCCAAGCCCAGCTAAGACTCAGTTTCACCACCTTCCGCCCCCTTCACGAGAGGGGAGATTTAAAATTCCTCTTTAGGTGCTCGTGATGTTTCTTCGGGTTCGTTCAGTTTCCGGAAAAGAATGGTAACATGAACAGCAGAGAGTGAGAGCGTCACCGGAGGAAGGGGAAGAGATTGATGGGCAGGGCGCTCACTTGGCGAAGGATCACATTCCGAGAACTGCGCGAGGAGGGAACGTCGCGGCGCCTCAATTTCTGGCTGGACTGTACAGACATCTGTAGCGTCCTTTCCACCAGGTTCCCAGGTGGAGGAGCCGCAGGCTGCAGAGAAGTGTTTAGACAGCGCGTGAGGATCCAGGAGTTGGTGGACCTCTGTCCAAAGAGGAGTTCAGCCCTGGATCCTGTGTTCCTGGATCCCTGTGGAGCCTGCAGGCACGTTGGCTCCAGAGGGAGTTTGGACTTGAGTTCAGGTGGGTTATTCCAAAGAAAACACAGGAGGAAATATTTAGGGAAGACAAGATGAGGAAGGTGATGTTTCAGTGTCAAAAGCGGACACTTTTCCTCTTGACACTTGATGAGGCTGAGTCACTTCCTCCCATGCCATCCTCCTAACCTGCTCCTTCCAGAACCAGCCCTCCCACACTAAGGGGTGGGGAAGGTACTCACCAATACCTAGCATGCTATTGACTTTTTTTTAAAACCCAAAACTTATTATTAGGGTGTATTTACGCCATTGCTTTATACTAATGGAGTTCGATATGCTTAATGATTTCCTAAGTCAAGTCATTTACTTCTTAGCCAATAGATAATGCCTTCGTCATAGTTTTCTTGGGGGGAAAGTAACTGTGCGTTTGTTCTGCAGATGGCCAACTCCCTCTGAATCCTGCAGATTGGTGCTGAGCACGCAACAAAAGTTTTTAGCTTCTCCTCAATTTCTGGTGCTTCCCAGGGCAGAGAAAAGGACTTTGGCATTAAACACAAGAAGCAGTCAGGGGAACATCTCCTTTAACTTTTCTTCTCTGTTATCATTTGCAATGAAGAGGAAACAGAAGAGATTTCTGCAGATGACTTTGTTGTTCACGGTGGCTTTAATTTTCCTGCCCAATATTGGTCTCTGGTCTCTGTACAAGGATAAGCATCTGGTGAAATCTACAGAGCCCGGGGAGCAGCAGGTAAGTACCACCCAGTGAAAGATTACAGGAGGACTGGTAAGACATACATAGAACCCCGGGGACATAAGGAAGCAAGTGTGGAACAGCATTGGGTTTTCACCCAAGTCTTTATAGAGCTGGTATTACAGGACTCTAGAGACTTTGGGGTTTGAGGAACAAATTGTTTTAAGATAGTCATCAATGCATTTGTGAAATGTTAAGTAAACTAGGAAAAAAGTGTAAGAGAGGTAAAGAAGAGAAGACAATCTTTTACAATTGTCTTGGGTTGATTTTGGCTTGAGATGAGTAAAAGGTAACCGTTTATTTGTGGGATACAGGAGTGGGTTTAGTATAAGTTCAGTAACAGGGATGTGTTTATTCCTTTAGTCTAGTTTTGGTGTCTGTAGTACAGTAAATTAAGTCAATTAAATCATTACATTTTTTAACTTGTTCTCAAAAATCAAACTGTAGTTTTCTATAGTTTGGCTGTAATGTTTGCTTAGCAATAGATTTTTACTCTGTGGAAACTTAAATGCTTTCTTTCATCTCCCCTGTTGCTAAGGTGATTAGTTGGAATATACAGAGTTATTAAGAATGTTTAGTTTTACAATCTGGTGATAATTGTTTATTGCTAAAAGCTTTCCTTCTTATTGGAAACAACATGTAGTATAATATAGTCCCCCCCACACTCAGTAAGTAATTCATTAGTATGTGTATCACTAATAATGTGGATCTAAACAACTGTCTCTCTTAGTTAACAGCAATGCGAAATTGTTCATTAAGCTCAATATTAAGTTGAATTAGTTCTTTATTAATGCATACAATAGCTATGTAATTAACTTTTTAACTATAGAATGCAGCCTTCTTATGGTACTGATATAACACTTTTTCAGTTAGTCCTATGCATTATTTTGGGATATTAATATTCTTTAAGGGTCATCACCCTTTGTACACTATATACCTTCCATACACAGGGTGTGTTTTTCTTTTCTAGACAATAGCAATATATATTACTGACAATTAAATACTTGTTCTCATACTTAACAAAGTTTCTTTCTTTCTTTTTACACAAAGAGTTAAGTTTTGAAATGTATGGAAGTACTTTACTTTATTATTATGACAAGAAGTCATTACCAGTTTCTAAACTTTAAAGGTAACTAGTTGCTTGTGGATTTTTAGTATACTGGAATCTTGAAGACAATATCAACATATTTTCCTTTACTTATTGAACTCTATCATCCTTTCTAATATGAATATAAGTTTGATTTAAAGTATATTCTATTTTGTTATGCTAGTAGAAAAGGAAGATGGGCACTTCGGATATGAAACTTCTTTTTTTTTCCAGTCTTATGTAGGTCACTTATTTTCCCCAATTCTTGATATAAAACATGAGTTTATTGACACAAGTAGTCGATGCATCCTTATGTAAAATGTCCTCTGCAGTGTTAATCAGATAATCATACACAAAGAATTATTTTTCCTTAAGTTTTGCTAATTCAACTAACAGTTACCCTTTGAAGTATTTGCTGATGTAGCTAACATGAAACACTAATGAATCTTATTAATGAGATCTTTACAACTTTTACACTGGCTCTATCGATTTTGACCCTTAATGAGAAATTTGTTTTGTCCTATGGCATAAAAATAAAATGTGACATTCAATTCTCTGACTTGTCATTAAAATCTCCAAAACGGTTTCCTTGCTTCTGGTTCTTCTGCAGTACAAATGAGACATAATGTTGGGTAATAAATTAATGGGTTTGAGAGGCATGGGCTTGCAAGTGAAGGAGCTGTTTCTCAAAGTTTCTTACACTAGACTAAATAATTCAGATTGATGGATCTCCAATGACATTTCAGTTTAATAATCTTATGTAACAGTTTGAAACTAAGAGATGAAGAAAGGGAAGTGATATGTCGTAAAATGAATGTCAGTCTGCACTGTAGTATTGGTTCCCCCCTTTGTAGTGGTTTTAAAACTAATACTTTCCTAACACTGAAAAATAAAGGCCGTAGAAATTAGTTGATAACTTACTGCAAGGTAGAATTCATTGTAAAATAGGAAAAGTTAAACCCTACATGGATTTATTCCCCTATTTATTTTTATATAAGTTTTGGATAAGTGAGAGTTAAGTCATTAATACATATACACTTGACCCAATAAAAAATAATGTACAGTGATGAATTAAACAGGCTTAATATTGTGATGTAATATTTTGTGTAATGCATCTATAGTTCAACAGCTTAGCTAAATGCACAGGTTTTCAGTTGAAGGCTATAATATGACTGTTGGGTAATGTGTTGTTAAAATTAGCAGTTCATTTTTAAAAGACATTCTCATGGTTAATTGCTAAATATCCCTCAAAAGGCATTTTCTTATGTTTTTCTTCACATTGTAGAATGCTGAGGGTAAGAATAATGTGCTGGTTTAGGTACTGACAGCAATGAGTACTGAGGCTATGAAAAACAAATGATGTGCTGAAATGAACAGTCTATTTTTAACAGCAGTTAGTGTAAAACTGGTTCTCATTCTAGGTTTTCATTACAAGTGTGCATTGGTCTAAGTGTAGTGTGGTTTTCTTCACAGAAGTTGAAAAAGATTCACTCTTTAAAATAAAATAATTTAGTTTAAGGAAATTCAAAATCATGGAATGACTAATATTTTCTAAGTGCATTCTTGGTTAATATTTTACCACTGCACATTATTAATAGTTTTTCTAGTATTCAGTATAATTTATGTTTATTATGCAATCTGAGATAAATTGATAGGGAAGTAAAAAAATACTTATGGAAACTGTTGTTTATTATACAGTTTAGTATTTAACACATATTTCACAAGTCTATTATACTATTTGAAATTGTTTGAATTTACTATAATTTCACATTAAAAGTAATAGGTATGATAATTCTTGATAATAATAAACATTTGCCCCCATTACAACACAGAAAAGAAAAAAAGAAGTAACAGTTCTCAAATTAGTCGTCTAAATGTGTGTGTGTGTTTATTTCCCCTCTCGCCTCACCAGAGAATTGATAAACTCGTTCTAATTACATTATACCATTACAAGTTGTTAGGCTTGTTTTGTTTTGTTTTTGATAATTTTGGTTCTGCAAATTTGAAATCAAGTCACCTTGTTACCTTAACACATATTAAGCTTTGATACTTTAAGACTTTTTTTAAAAAAATTAAAAATGTTTTATTATTCTTTCAAAATTATAATGTTATCTAACATAATTAAGTGTCATATCTTTTCAATTGATGCCGTTTTGTCTCTGTTTTGTTGTTATTGGGATGGCATATGATCTCATTTATGCTGTTTAGAAGTATACAAGTATATTTTAAAATAATCTCTTGGTAATGAATATGATATTTAAATTGAGAATTATAGCTGGTTTATCTATTGTATAGTAATTCTTAATTTCATTTTTCTTTTTAAACCATTTACCTTGCTTTTCCTCTTTAGTTTCAGCTTCGTTTGAATGAAAGCCCAGTTACACATTTAGGTCTTCAGCTGTGCTTTCAGATGATATATAGAACAAGGCAATATTTTAGAACAAAATGAGTTCATCCAGTGTAGGAAGTATAACTCTCTTCCTAATCATTTATTAAGTATATGTAGTAAATAAAAACTACTCCAAAACACTGTCTCTTCTTTATACATATTAGCTTAACCAAAAACACAATTACAGCTACAGTGATCTAGCAACTAAATTGCAAATAACATGAGTAGCAGAAATAATTCTAAAATATTGAGAGTATGAACAGGTTTGCAGTTTTTGAAATAAATATGAAGGCTGACATCCCATAATTTTAAATCAGACATTTTTAGAGTTGTTCAGAAAGATTTCAGAAACTTGTATTTGGAATGGATTTTTTACCACATTAAGTAAACCAAACCAAAACAAAAGGCCAACAACTAGGTACTCAAGTCACTTTTTAATTATGTAACTATGTTATTTTTTTGTACAGTGAAACCTGTGAGAAATGGAACTTGACAGGATTGCCTTGTTTTTCCAGGTCTTGCAAGTTTTTTGCCTTTGAGAGGGTGCAGTCTTAACCGTTTTCTGCCATTCCTTTCTAGTGGAAAATTTTTGAGTTTTCCTTGTTTAACAAGTTTCTGCCTCACACAGGTTCTAGCTTTCACTGTACTTCAAAATTCCTATTTATAAAACAGGGCTAATCATGCTTGCCATGTATAAGATGTATAAGGTCATGAGATCACTTACTGGAGATGAAAAATATTGTGAGGTAACATTTTGTTTTTAGTCAGTTCCATATGTAAATGGTACTTGACAGATGCATGATTTAATTTCCATTAGAAATAAAATTATGTCTGGTAAAGAGATTATTTAGCATACTTGTCCAACTGTTCCACTGTTAATCAGCCTTATACTTTCAGGTGATTCTTCCTTTTGGCTAAGATCACTCTTTCTGTAGCATCTTAAATTTGCTTTATTATGTGACGATGTCAGATAATTGGTACCCAGTTAATGCACAGGGCATCATGCTTTCCTTTATCATGCTGATCAGTAAAGTTGCAAAGTGTGCCCATTCCTTTTCCAGCAAACACCTTAGATACTGGAAGACCTCAGGGCAAGAGAAGATGAAGGTTTCCTCTTCTCCTGCACTCAGGATGGCACATTATTAACACATTGGATGTGAAATGATGTATTAGTTTGAACCATACTGTTCTTAATTAACTAAGATGTAGCTTTTAAATTAGGGTTTTAAAGAACTTTTCTTGAATTTATGGAAAATCCATTTGTAATTGCAACAGGACCATATCACACAGACCACTGTAACAAGTGTCTTAATTAGTTGCTGAGACCTAGTAGATCTCTACATAATTAGTTCATCACATTGCCCCATGAGAGACTAGAGTGTGAAGTACAGTCTTCTGTTCACAATCTGGTAAAAAAATGAGATAAATTTCTTTTCTTGCTCATTGCTGAATTGAATGAGCTGTGCTGAATCAATTAGTGTCCAATAAGGTTTTTTTTTTTTTTTTTCTTCTTCTTCTTCT